AAAAAAAAAAAAAAAACAGTTTCGGGCAGTGAAAACCAAGGAGACTAGATCAGGGTAATGAGACCATGATGGGAGGGCTCCACTTAAGGTGGGATGAGTGAGGGCGGGATGGAGATCTGAGAAGATGACAGCCGTGCAGAGACGGGGAATGTGCTCCAGGAAGAGGGAAGGTCAAGTGCAAAGACCCTGAGGCTGGAGCTTGGTGCCTGGGGAACAGGAGGGGCCTCTTTGGTGGGTGTTTTTGAGGGGAGAAAGGTCTGAGTGACAGAGGGGCCACAATTTGGAATTTGGAGTTTCTTCTGTGTGGTGCTAATGAGTCTGAATTGGGAGTGACACAATGTGATCTACATTTCAGGAAGTTCTCTCTGACTACTGTGCAGAGACTGGGCGGTAGGAGGGACAAGAGGAGAAGCCAAGGCCGGGAGACTAGCTGGGTGGCTCTGACCGTCGTCTGGCTGATGTAGGTTTATAAACCAGATGTACTAGCTCAGGCCGCTATGACAAAATACCACAGACCTGGAGGCTTAAACAAGAATTCATTTTCTCACCGTTCTGGAGGCTGGAAGTCCAAGATCAGGGTGTTGTGTTGGCAGGGTTGGTTTCTGATAAGAACTCTTTCCTTGGCCTGCAGGTGGCCACCTTCTCACTGTGTCCTCACATGGCCTTTCCTCTGTGCACAAGCATTTCTCTTCCTATAAGGACACCTGTCATTTTGGATTGGGGCTGCACTCTTATGACTCCATGTAAACTTAGTTACCTCCACAAAGGCCCCATCTCCAGATACAGTCACTTTAGTGCTTCAGGTTTCAACATAAGAATTTGGAGAGGACACAATTCAGTCCATAATACCAGGTAAGCACTGTGACAGAAACATTCAAGGAGAGCTGATAGGAAGTGGCTTTAGGGGAGGCCCTCTGAGAAAGGAGTTCTGCTCATCACTCAGGTCTCAGCTCAGACATCTTCTCTTGGAGAGGCCTTCCCTGACAGCCACCTAAAATTGCCCGTTAACTCAGCACCCTGTTTGATCATCTCTCTCTGGAATGACCTTGTTTAATCATTTGGGTACTTACTTGTGGTCTTCGTCCACCCCTCCTAGGACACCAGAGACCCTTCCTGCTTTTGTTCTCTATTCCCAGCCCCTAGAATAGTGCCTAGAACTCTATAAACATTTCTCAAATGGATGTCCCTGTGAAACTTGGAGCTAAGATCTGCAGGATGAACAAGAGGTAATGAGCTGCAGGGGTGCGTGGAGAGAAAGGAAACATTTTAAGTCAGAAGATGCTGAAAGGCCAGATTGGCTGGATCACAGAGAGCTGGGTAGGGTCCCAGGGAGGTGAGATAGGAGATGAGCAAGGGCCAGGCCCTGAAGGCTATTGTAAAGCTACATGAAGCTGGACATCATTCTGCCAGTACAAGGAAAAACTCTATGGGACTGTATAAGTTTCCTATGGCTGCTGTAACAAATCACCACAAACTTAGTGGCTTAAGACAACACATATTTATTATCTTACCTTTCTGGAGGTCTGACGTCTGAAATGGTTCTCACTGGGCTAAAGTCAAGGTATGGGCAGGGCTGGTTCCTTCTGGAAGCTCTGGGAAAGACTCTATTCTCTTGTCGTTCCCAGCTTCTAGGGGCTGCCTGCCTTCCTTGGCTCATGGTCCTTCCATCATCTTCAAAGCCAGAAATGATTGGTCAAGCCTTTCTCAGGCTGCATCTCTCCAACTCAGCTTCTGATGTCACATCTCCTCTGACGCTCCCTCTTTCTTCTTTCCCTTATAAGTACCCTTGTGATTATACTGAGCCCATCCAAATAATCCAGGATGATCTCCATATGTATATATGGAAGAGTTCTTACGAACAGAGCATATGTATTCTAAAGAAGAGAAGGCAAACAAGGCCTGTTCTTTTTAGATAGGTTTTGTTTTTGCTAAGGTACGTTGAATTAGTTTGTGATTCCATTCTTCCTACTCACCTTGGATTCTCTACTCCTCTGTAGTTGTTCTGTCAATTCTCAACTGTTTAAGGAGTCAACATATAAGTCTATCTTTTGTTGCCTTGGTTTTCCTTTCAGCTGGGCACCAAATTAGGAATCTTAGTTTAAGAACCTCATCTCCTAGCACTCATCTGGAAATATGGGAGTGAGTCCTTGGGCCATGGACATCTCTGGACAGCAGCTCTTGTTACTATCCAGGCAATAACAGCAGTGGTAGTTCTGTGTCGTGTATAAAGTTCCCCAAGATTCTCAGCTGAAGCTGTCATGCACACTTGACAAAAGTGGTTTTTGTTTTATACATTCACATCCTAAGTCCCCGCCAAAGGAAAAGCAAAGTGTTTATATCATTATAAACACCATTCTCTCTCATCCAAGCTCCTCCAAATAAACATAAAGTGAATGTTCTAGAATGAATGTTTGTGTCCCCTCTCCCAAATCCATATATTAGAAATCCTAACCCCCAATGTGATGATATTAGGAGATGGGCCTTTGGGAAGTGATTAGGTCTTGAGGGTGGAGCCCTTATAAATGAGATTAGTGCCCTTATAAAAGAGGCACAAAGGAGATGATTTCTCTCCCCATCATGTGAGGACACAAAGAGAAGACAGCCTCCTACAAGCCAGGAAGAGAGTCTCACCAGACATCAGATCAGCCGGCACCTTGATCTTGGACTTCCCAGCTGTCATATCTGTGAGAAATAAATGTCTCTTGTTTAAGCCACCCAGTCTATGGTATTTTGTGAGAGCAGCAGGTACGAACTAAGACAGTGAACATCTAAGATACAAGCATCTGGTCAGTATGGGGTAGCACAGTGATGGAAGGAGAGGGACTTTGGAGTTTGGGAAACAAGGGCTAAATCCCAACTTGCTCCTTACCCATCTGGACAGCCCTGGGCCAGTTTCTTACATCTGTCTTGAGCTCATCATCTTTTTTTTCTTTTCTTTCTTTTTTTTTTGGCTGTGTTAGGTCTTTGTTGCTGCACGTGGGCTTTCTCTACTTGCGGCAAGCGGGGGCTACTCTTCCTTGTGGTGCGCGGGCTTCTCATTGCCGTGGCTTCTCTCATTGTGGAGCACGGGCTCTAGGGCGTGTGGGCTTCAGTAGTTGTGGCACACAGGCTTAGTTGCTCCGCAGCATGTGGGATCTTCCCAGACCAGGGATTGAGCCCGTGTCCCATCCCCTGCATTGGCAGGCGTATTCTTAACCACTGCTCCACCAGGGAAGTCCCCACATCATCTGGGCAGGGTGCACTTGCACCCCACCCCACGCCCAGACACTGTGAGGCATGCTCCCCAATACCCCTGGGAGCTATTGCATTTGGAGAAACTATTCTTGAGGGGGGTGACAGAAGGGTGAGAGATCTCTTAGGTATCCTGAGGTGGCAAAATGCTTGAGAGTCACTGGCTTAAAAATGGAACCTCAGAGATATACCCACAACTTGAGGCCACTATCATGGTATTATCTACGGAAATGGATTGACCACAGGGCCAACCTCAAATAAGAATGAAAATAAAAACGATCCATTTTCAAATATTACACACCTGTACCAGAAAAGGAAAACCTTCAATTTTATAGCAACTCAGAACACGAAAGGCATGTGTTAAAATATTTGCCAAATGACCCCATGATACTGTGACAAGCCACATGTACTGAATTTTGTCAGCACTCATATGGAAATCTGTTCTGGAACCTACATGTGAAGCATAAAAAATTTTTTATATTATTACATTCCTTCTTGAATAAGCAAGTAAATTGATTAATCACTGTGAATCACCTGGGCTATATTTCTTCCACATTCTGCTTTGATGAAATGCTGAAGTATAAGAAAGATACAAAAAATATTGACTAGATTCTTTTATTTGGCTTTTTAGGTGGTATATGGATTAGGCATTTGCTTCCTCTCCACTTTCTCTTGGTATTTACCTTGTGTTAATCAGCCTTGAAGATGGCTTGCTAAAACCCCTGCCCATGGGCTGGTTGCATGGACATCAACTTACATGTGTAACTAACTGCAAGCGGGCTCCTAAACATTGTATAAGGCAGGAGAGCCCTAATTATCCAAGGAAAAAAAAAAAGGAGCATATACATAAGTAATCAGGGGAATAATGAGATAGACTTTATGTTTTACTTGTCAGCACTTTTTCCAGGAATTCTTTGGAGCTCCCCTCCCCGCCATACTAAGTTTAGTGCCACAATGTATAGCACAGTTGCTTGCTTTTATTTGAGGAGACACATTTGACATTCAGAAAAAGAGTTGATCCAACTCCTAGTCGCTTCTGGGGATAGAGGAGCATGAGAAAGCAGGAGTGCTGCCTTCCCAGTAGGAATTCTTTCCAATTCTTTCCCCAACTTCTTTCTGCCCCAAGTTGGGAATACAGGAGTCCCTTTTCCATGCATTCTGTCTTCCACTCCATACCTGTTCCCAGCTGGCTTTTCCTCCCCCATCCTCTGATTAATCTTGCCCATAATTTCTACTGCCTCCAACCTCTGGGACTCAAGCCACCTGGAACTGGTCCTTCTGGAATGGTGGATGGGATCCAGGGAGCTCCGTTCATCTGTTCAACAAATATAAGTGCCAGCTACATTCAGGGCACTTTGCTGAATTCCAAAACCTACAAGTCACGGTTCCTACACTCAAGATACTTAAAATTAAACTTGCTGTTTTATCCCCCAAGAGGTGGGCTTGGGAAATAGAAAATTAGAACAGGAAAGTACAGGGACCCCTATGATGAACCAGAAACACAGGTTAAGGGAACCTGATCTGTAGGATGTAGCGTCGAAGATCTTTGTCTTTTAACATGTGAGATTCTCAGGACATCTGTAAATGAGGAGATTTAACATGAAATCAGAAGAAAACTTACCACTGACACTGCAGTTTAAAAGGTACTTTCTGCCTCAAAGGAAACTGCTGTCAGGCTCCTTTAATCCAACTAATCTACAATAGAGTGTATTTTCTTTTTAAAAAACATGTTGAAGGATCAAATTTTACTCAGTCTTTTATAGCCTTTGGCAGGGTGCCAAGGCTTATTAGGAAATTGCAGAAAACATAAATATAAAAAATGTACAAGTTCTCCCTTGAATAACCACACGAATGTTTCCAAAAACATGTCTAAAGCCATTTTTCCCTTCTGTGAAGTTGTTATAAAATGTACTTAGCACAGACCTACATCTGCTGCTCTAGACTGATTTATAGCAAAAATTTAAATGAATGTATTTTAAAGACATTTGCAAAAAGGAATAAATGTGAATAAATTCTAAATCTGAATCATGGTCATCTGGTTGTGCTGTAAATTTTAAATATCAAAACAAAACAAGGGCTTCCCTGGTGGCACAGTGGTTGAGAGTCCGCCTGCTGATGCAGGGGACACGGGTTCGTGCCCCGGTCCGGGAAGATCCCACATGCCGCGGAGCGGCTGGGCCCGTGAGCCATGGCCGCTGAGCCTGTGCATCCGGAGCCTGTGCTCCGCAACGGGAGAGGCCACAGCAGTGAGAGGCCCGCGTACCGCAAAAAAAAAAAGCCTGAGCCAGCGCTTCTCCCTAACATTCAGCATCCATCCTTCAGGCATGATATTTAAGGCATGTGTCTTCATTAGGAGAGATGTTTCTAGGAGCATGCGTGTGTGTGTATGTTGCAACCAAAAAAATTCATATAGGGACTTCCCTGGTGGTCCAGTGGCTAAGGCTCCACGCTCCCAATGCAGGGGGCACGAGTTTGATCCCTGGTCGGGAAACTAAGATCCCGCATGCTGCACCATGTGGCCAAATAAATAAATAAATAAATAATATTCCTATGGAAATATAAAAAAAATCTTTCATGTATTTCACACAAATTTATTATAGGATAGACTTAAATCTCTTGTTTCTTTTCTAGAATAAACATATCTAACGAGCTTGGTTTTTTTTTTTTTTTTTGGCTGCATTGGGTCTTCTTATTGCGGTGGCTTCTCTTGTTGTGGAGCATGGGCTCTAGGTACACAGGCTTCAGTAGTTGTGGCACACAGGCTTAGCTGCTCCACAGCATGTGGGATCTTCCCGGACCTGGGCTTGAACCCGTGCTCCCTAAATTGGCAGGCGGATTCTTAACTACTGCACCACCAGGGAAGTGCAACATATCTAACTAGGTTTTAAACATTATTGGGTTCAATGTAACTTTGTAAGAGCTTTCTTTGATTCTCAATTCAAATGTTAATTTTATTCACCTCATCTACAGTATGTGCAAAGTCTATCTTGCTTTTCTTCAGCTTTGATCAGGGGAATTGATTTCAATTCTGCTAGTTTATCCCTAGTGAACATTAGAGTATTGTGGCTCCTTTCTTTTTGGGAGGACATCAAATTCTAGCAAAGAAGTCCCTCTAATCAAGGGGACCCAAAATCTTAGTGATTCAGTTACCTTTTGGGGGGGCGAGTTCCTTCTCCAGCACAATATTTTACTGGTATTTTTTTCCCTTCTTTCTTTTTTTTTTTCTGGCCGAGCCATGCAGCTCGTGGGATGTTAGTTCCCAGACCAGGGATTGAACCCGGGCCCCCGGCAGTGGAAGCTTGGAGTTCTAACCACTGGACCGCCAGGAAATTCCTTACTGGTGTTTTCTTTAAAGAAGTTCACGAATGGGTATGTCAAGAAATTTTTAGTAGCAATGATCTTTAACTAGTGAATCCTGCTTACCCTAGATTAAGGCAGAAAACAAATTTATAAGCACATGTAACTTAATCATCCAGGTAAAGCCAGCTTCGATGTCAAGAAAATCCAGTCTTTCTCCATCTGTCAACTCTGCTTTTCATTCTCAGGCAGGTCCTCTGCTTGTGGGGGCGTTCCAGGCTTATGGGGCATCTTCTCAGCAACCGCCACAAGTCCCACAAATATCTAAGGCCTGACTCTCACTGGCCGGAACTGGGTCATATGACCATCTGGAATCAATCACTGAGCCCAGGGGGATGTTATACAATTGTGTTGTTATACACTTACATTGTATACAATTGTGTTAGACAGTGATGACTTGGGCTTCAACTATATACTCACCCCTGGAACTGGGGATGGTGTCAACGCCACCAAGAAACGGAGGAGGATAGTTCCTCCAAGGAAGAGTGCTGGTACCTAAAGAAGGTTATGAGTGGATAGTACCTATGTCCAAAACAGGGACTCTATTTCTAGTAAGATAATAAACTGATATAGGTCTTCTCCTGTTCCAATTCTCTACTCTCCTAGGCAATCTCATTCACAGCTCTGGCTTCCACTGTCATTTATGCCCTGATGGCTTTTCCATCTACATCTCTAGCCCAGATCAGTCCTCTGAACCCATACCCAAAATATAGTCCAACTGCCTACTTAGTATCTCTTCTTGGATATCTCAGAAGCATTTCCAACACAGCATCTCAGAAGCTGAACTCATGGCCTCCTCCTCCCCGTGTGACACTTTCTCAGGGATACCTTCCCTAACTTTCCCAGATAGATCAAATCTGCCCAGCAGAGGTATTCAGTGTATCGTGTACCTCCCTCCACTTGTAACTGGATACAAGTGCAAGGTTACATTTGTTTGTATATTATTTGATTCATGTTTGTCTCCCTCACTAGACTGTAAGCCCCATAAGGGTAGGGACTGTATCTTTTTTCCTCAACATCATATCCCATAGAGACTGGAACACAGATATTCAGTAAATATTTAATTGACTACATTAGTACTTATTGATGTATAGCTATTTACTGAGAAACATGTCCCACTGCAACATAAATACTCTCTAAAAAAGACAGTTTGCTAATAAGAAATTAATCCAAAGTACAGCAGATCAGATGGGTGGTGGTAGATAGAAAGACATTGGTTATGAATACATGCTCCTAGACACCCACTGCTCTGAAACACAGAGATCCTAAGGGGAATTTAAAAGGCCACTTTGAGGGACTTTCCTGGTGGTCTGGTGATTAAGACACGGCAGTTCCACTGCAGGAGGTGCAGGTTCGATCCCTGGTCGGGGAAATAAGATCCCTCATGCCACGCGGCCAAAAAAGAATAAAAATAAAAGTAAAAGGCCACCTTGAAAGATTTCCATGAGCGTGAAGGCTCTTGGAAGACATGCAAGTCAAAAAGGATGCATGCAACATTTTATATATATATTTTTAAATTGCATATGCATACACTTATATATTCTAATATTTTCTATTTCTATTCACTATTAAAGTGTATCTATTTATTCAATTCTACATTTGGGTTCCTTTATTTTTTTAATTTTTTTTTTTGCGATACATGGGCCTCTCACTGTTGTGGCCTCTCCCGTTGCGGAGCACAGGCTCTGGACACGCAGGCTCAGCGGCCACGGCTCACGGGCCCAGCCGCTCCGCGGCATGTGGGATCTTCCCGGACCAGGGCACGAACCCACGTCCCCTGCATCGGCAGGCGGACTCTCAACCACTGCGCCACCAGGGAAGCCCTCCCCACTTGTTTGTTCTCTGTTTCTGTGAGTTTGCTTCTTTTTTGTTTTATTCACTAGTTAGTTGTATTTTTTAGATTCCACATATAAGTGATATCATAAAGTATTTGTCTTTCCCTGTCTGACTTATTTCACTTAGCATAATGTCCTCCAAGTTCATCCACGTGGCTGCAAATGGCAAAATTACATTTTTTTGTACAGCTAAGTAGTATTCCATTGTATATGTATATACCACATCTTCTTTATCCATTCATCTGTTGATGGCCACTTACATTGCTTCCATAACTTGGCAATTGTAAATAACGCTGCTATGAGTTAGTAGGGTGCATATATCTTTTTGAATTCGTCTTTTGTAACATTTTATATTTAGTTATGAAAATCAAGCAATTATTAAAACATTATATGCATCGTGACTGAGATGTCCCTGTGATAGAAGTCATCCTCCCAGGAGGAAATAAAGCAGAGACTGATAAGATCAGAGAAAAGGTCAGGCAACAAAATGCCAAGACAAGGAAGGAAAAGTCAACAATAAGAAGTGATCAGCCAGAGAGCAAACTGGGAGCAAACTGTCCTTCAAAGAAGCCAATTCTGTGACAAAGTTCAACATGTATAATAAACAAAAGTAGCAGTTCTGGTGGAAATTTTTGTGTTATGTGCTTTTTATCAAAAACAATTTTTTTTTAAGTAGAAGCTCTGGAAATTATTTACTTCATAAAAGCAATTAAGTAAATTCCTAAAAGGCTGTGAAGTAAAATAGCTTTTTAAAAGTGAGGAACTGGGGCTTCCCTGGTGGCGCAGTGGTTGAGAGTCCACCTGCCGATGCAGGGGACACAGGTTCGTGCCCTGGTCCGGGAGGATCCCACATGCCGCGGAGTGGCTGGGCCCGTGAGCCATGGCCGCGGAGCCTGCACGTCGGGAGCCTGTGCTCTGCAAGGGAAAAGGCCACAACAGTGAGAGGCCAGCGCACAGAAAAAAAAAAAAAAAAAAGTGAGGAACTGTTAATTTTATAGACGAAAGCCATTCATATACTAAGAATCCATTTTGGAAGGCAAAAGACCCCAGAGGAATACTAGAATATTATAGGTCAAATGCAAAAGTTAAGAGAAAGGATATGGGAAAAGTGAACAGCATTCACGAACTGTAGGAAGAAAATAAGGTGGATCTAAACAACCACAATATCAAGAGATTAAAAAGTAAAAGTGCTAGGGGAAAAAAAGTAAAATGTTTCCCCATTAAACCCTGAAAGCTTTACTTCAGAATATTCTGAGAACATCCTGGTAACATTTGAAACTACCTGCTTTTAGGCATTTCAGCAACTCCAATCTAAAGAGAGAAGGTGACACCAGGTATCTTCTTGGAATTCAGTAATTATTAAATGATCATAGAGAGGACTTCCTTGGCGGTCCAGTAGTTAAGACTTCGCCTTCCAGTGCAAGGGGTGCGGATTTGATCCCTGGTTGGGGAACTAAGATCCCACATGCCTCACAGCCAAAAAGCCAAAACATAAAACACAAGCAGTAGTATAACAAATTCAATAAAGACTTTAAAAATGGTCCACATCAAAAAAAATCTTTAAATGATCATAGAATATATCATTTTATTTAAAAAATCAACAGGTTAGTGTAAACCATTATTGATGTTTCGGTCTAAGTTTCTAAAACGAGCTATCACTAAACTTTTTTTTGCAAGATCGGACCAAAGTTTGACGTATAATAAACATGGAATACAATTTACATATTTTATGTGCATACACATATATGTGCAAACATATTTTGTGGGTATAATTAAGCATTTTGCATGAACCATCAACTTGTGATATTTAATCGGATCCAGGTTAAAATTATAATTCCGATTTAGTGAGCTCCAAATTAGGACTTTTTTTTTTTTTTTTTGGCTGAGTTGGGTCTCCGTTGCTGCTCATGGGCTTTCTCTAGTTGCGGCGAGCAGGGGCTACTCTTCATTGTGGTGCACAGGCTTCTCATGGCGGTGGCTTCTCTTCTTGCAGAGCACGGGCTCTAGGCACACAGGCTTCAGTAGTTGTGGCACACGGGCTCAGTAGTTGTGGCTCATGGGCTCTAGGGCGCAGGCTCAGTAGTTGTGGCGCACGGGCTTAGTTGTTCCGCGGCATGTGGAGTCTTCCTGGACCAAGGCTCAAACCCATATCCCCTGCATTGGCAGACAGACTCTTAACCACTGCGCCACCAGGGAAGTCCCAGGACGGTTTTATTGTATTGGCAGCAGCTGGTATTTTCCAGGCCTCCATTTATTTTCTTTGGTCCCTTCTAGATTTTTACTACCCGAAGTGTAGTCGGTGGACCAGCAACATTGACACTTTGAGCTTGTTAGGAATCTAATTCAGTACACCTGGGGAAGGGCCTGAGGTTTTTGGACATCTTACAAATTCTTAGGCCATGCCAGCACTACTGGTCCATGGACCACACTTTTTGAGAAGTGAAATTCCTCTAGAGACTGCCCCATTTGCTTTCTTTAAACTCTATTCCTTTTCTTAGGGGTTTCTGTGTTTTCATCTAAAAAAAAGAGTGGGATATTGGGATTTCCCAATGCTCCCAGTCAGAAAAAACTATGTTTGAATATGGCAGTTTTATATTCTTTATTCTTTAAGTGGCCAGTTGGATGAAGGTGGTCAAAAGGTACAAACGTCAAGTCATAGGATAATAAGTACCAGAGACTTAATGTACAACATGATAAATATAATTAACACTGCTGTATGTTATATTGGAAAGAAAGTAAATCCTAAGATTTCTCACCACTGAGGAAAAAATTTTTTCTATGTCTTTAATTTTGTAATTATATGAGGTGATGGATGCTCACTAAGCTTATTATGATAACTGTTTAATGAGGTTTGTAAGCCAAATCATTACACTGTACACATTAAACTTATACAGTACCGTATGCCAATTATATCTCAATAAAAGGTAAAACAAAAAAAATAAATTGTAAACTCCCCCCCACACATACACAAAATAAAAGCAAGTCCTTTTCTTCCTGAATAACGTCTTGTATAGAGAGAGGGGGAAAAAAAATTTCAGAGGGCTATGGCAGACCACTAGTGACACCCTGTGGCCAATTCTTATAATTACAGTAGCATTTCGGGAGTTTCTTTCCAATGTAAAATTAGACAACCTGACCTTGGGTTTTTAAACGTCAGTAGTCTGTGTTTTAATATTACTTAATTTTTTAACTTATTACTTTGAAATAATTATAGATTCAAAGGAGGTTGCTAAGAAATGTATAGGGAAGTCCCGTGTGCTCTTCCCCAGGCTCTCCCAGGGTTAGTGTATTATACTATCAAAACGGAGACAGACGTTGACCAGCTTTCACCAGTTATACATGGACTCATTTGTGACAATAGCAATTGACATGTCAAGGAAACCACAACAGGCCTATAAGATTATTTTATTTTGGTGCTTAAATAATATTAAATGCAATGACCAACTGGAAATCCTACTTTAGCATTGTAACAACATAAAAAGAATCTTGTATTCTAAAACTCACAATTTTATTGAGTCAAATATTGCAAAAAATGTGATATAGTGAAATAAGCACTGGACTGAGAACCAGAAACCTTGGGCAGACTGTGTAATCTCCCTGCATCTCCTATCTCAATAAAAAGCTTTTACTTTGTTGGTTTCAGGACTTGTTTCTGTGAGG